AGGAAGGAACGGGAAGGGACCCTGAGCAATCACCTAGAACAGGACCTGGATTTCAGCCCAATTTTAGGTTCTAGAGGTAGTCCTATTCCTCTATTTACAAAAATGTCAAAAAACAAACAAACAAACAAACAAAAACCTAGGGCTCTGAAAACAGTATTTTATCTTCTCACATCTTCCCTTTCAGGGTCTTCTGCTCTCATGTTGAGGTTCACTCACTCAGGGTGGGCTTAAGATCACATTTGAAACGTAACTGGTTACCTACAAACCTGGTTGGATTTTTGGACTCCATAACTGATCTAATCACAAGTCGCTTTTCACCTTTAACATCTATTGTCTCCTACTGGTCCCTGAGCTGCCTTAACATTTTCTGGCCACCTTGCCTTCTTCTAGAAAGCATTTTATTGAAAGATGCAAGTTTCCCAGTCACTTTCAGAAGCAGAAGAAGAAACTACTATACTGGTATCCCTTACCATTTTGAGACAAGACTATGCATTTAAATGAAATATCCACATCTAAAGGAAACCCATCTATGCAGGAAGTATAAAAATAGGGGGGGAGAACCTATATTTCTGAACCATGACTATAATAACCAGGTAGTCCCTGCCCCCAGCTGGTGTGGCATCAAAAGATGTACTGAAACTTTCTGATAGATGTCAAAAATCAGACATTAGAGAAATGATGCCAACTGAATGCAATACTGTAGGGGAAACATCCTTAAAAGTTTTAAAGAATCTGTGTGCACAAAATGCTGACAAACCTTCAACGCAGCATTGCAAGCCTAACAAAAGCTACATTCCATGCCCACCTCTAAGGAAATCAATTGATTTCTATAGGGCTTTCATTTCTTTACCTTTCCTTCCATGAGGATTCAGCACATGTTCCATATACAGGATTACTGTCAGTCTGATTTTGAATGTGATTGGGGTGGGGTGTGGGGCAGAAACTTCAGGAAGGTAGATGCAAAACTACAAAGCCTTGACCCCGTCAAAAGGAAACTAAGAGTCCACCTCATATGAACTAAATTACAAGATTCTTCTCTCTTCAAATTGTGCTACCCTTAAGAAATCTGTTTCTATTGGATTTTTTTCCATAGAAAAACTATATATTTTATATTGTAGAACAAAACCTGAAATATGGGAAGCCGAGGCACAAGTTTCCTCCTTTGTTCTGAGTAACAGAAGTGTTTATCAAATTTTGTAACATGCTCAATAGGACACTAAAGGATTGGTATCAACTCACCTATGATACACAGCAACTGAAAACGACAGTAACAGCAAATGTATACAGCAATCCTCCTGTGTATGTACATAGCTGTTTTAGAAACTTTAAATATGCTGTTTTGCTTAATATTCCTTCTAGCGACCATGAGAGTGCGGAGTATATTCCCATTCTACTCTGGAGGAAACTAAGGCTCAGAAAGTTTAATAATTTCCCCAATTGATAAAGCTGCCTCTGAAGCTGAGATTCTAACCCATTATTTCCCAATCCCAAGGCTTGTCTCTTTTCTCTCCTGAACTTTTCTTGCAAAGGCCAATCTGTACAGTAACAGTGGGGGTAGGGGGTGTCAATGCTAGTGAATTGGAAAGCCCCTGCCCCGCGCCCACCCAGGAGAGGTATGGAGTACTTGTTATTCAGCCACAGCTGATAATGACCATGGGAGACCAGCAAAGCCAGATTCTGGCTTCTTTGGAAAAATTGACCAAATGTTTATATAAACATTTTAAAAATATTGGCAGCAAGTCATTTAAACATACATGAGCCCATGCATGTGCATACACACACACAACTCCTTATATGAGCAAATACTACATTTTTGAAGGGTCGATTAAGCTCTCTGGTCCCCCAGTTTATGGTATCTGTCCTACCTCGCCTATTTCTCGTTTATTATATCCACCAGGAAGCCATACGATAGTCCAAAAGTTCCAATGGAGCCATTATTAAATTTATATTAGAGTTACAAGCACATTGCAAATCAAAATTATCCTCAAACCTACACCTAGTTTCAGTTGCCTGAAAAGAGCCACAAGCTTTCACAACAAAAGCATCCACTTTATCCCATGTTCAGTACCTGCAAATGAACAATAAAACACCATCATGGCCACTAAGCGGGTCTAGTCTGTGGCAGTGACAGCAGCTCTTGGGTTCAATTAGCCCATGTTTTGCCAGATCCACAAACTAGTAAACATTTCACAAAAGGTAGATCACAAAAGCGAAAAAGCACCTGCAGGAACCACTATCCCTATAACCTTTCTCGTCCCTCTTTCCCCTTCAAGTTTGATGATTTGGCAGTTCTGGAACTCTTCCGAGAGAAGTCAAGACTCACTCTGCCAGCCCCAGCTGTTCAAAGCTCAGCCCAATCTGTTCCATATAGTTGGCTGTATTCTAACAATAATGTGGCTACAGTTCACCTTCATTTGCTGCAAAGATCATTAACTATCCCTCAGAGAGATACAGTATTAAAGAAAGAGAGTGCTCGAGGCATAATAAATGGAAGTTCCTGGGTAACATAGTTCAAAAGAGGTAGGATGATGCCAGCAAGGCCACCTGACAGTTCCTATAGCCAGAGAAAAGGGAAGAAAACAGGGGCAGGAAGGAGGCAAAATCAGAAAGAGAAATAAGAAAAGTCAATGTGCCTGGCAAGAGTGTATGTTCATGTGAGCAGAAAATAGAGGAAAAACAGAACATTTGAAATAAAGACACAAGGACATTTCATGTTAAGTCACAGTGGTGACATGATCCTACTTGTCTGGCAGCTCAAACATTCTATGACAGAGGTAGAAGTGAATTTGGAAGGAGAGTGAGAGCAGAGAGAATGAATTACAATCCTATACAGGAAGAATGCAGGATCCCAGACCTTTTTTAGTACCGTAAAAGATAACTGCATTAAATGAAACCTGTATTTAAATCATGCATCTGACCTCCCATTCAAAAAACTGCTGAATTGCAGTGTAGAGTAGGCGTGTTTCTTCATTCAACTCATACATTCAGTTATTAAAGTCTTGCATTAGCCTTATTTGAGTCTTTTTCTCCAACCACTCCCTCTTTTTCCCCCAATAAGCCAGCCCTGTGAAAACACCCAGTGATCAGAATGGCCACTTCATAGGAAGTTCTGCATGTTTAATATAAACACCTGGGAGTTCTTCAGTTGATAATGACAGCATCAAAGTCCGTACTTGTTGTGAGTGAGTTGTAACTGTTATATTAATCCAAACTAAATTCCAGTCAATAACGGAGAGAGAACTAGTGGCTAAATGGGAGTTCTAGTGGCAGACTTCATTGTCTTAGGATTCACTTTCTTCGGAAATTCACAGGGTAATATTACAAAACAAACAAACAACCAACAAAAACAAAGCTCCATACGTGACATCTTTACTATTTTCTTTACCTTCTTTTCCTTTGTTGAATCAATCCCTAGAACAATGGTTTTCAACTAGGGGCAAATTTCTCCCCCACAGAACATTTCTGGTTGCCACAGCTGGGGAGAGGAATTATGCTACTGGTATCTACTGGGTAGAGGCCAGGGGTGCTACCATATATTCTGCAATGCACTGGACAGCTTCTCACCATACTGAATGATACAGCCCCAAATGCCAGGGAACAGAGGTTGAGAAGCCCTACTGAGAGTCATTTCAGGTATCAAACTTCCTTTTTTGATATACAATATAGATTTTAGGAGTGGTAGAATGGGAGCTGTTTGTTTTGTTTTGAGCACGGCTCACTGCAGCCTCAACCTCCCTGGGCTCAAGCAATTCTCTCACCTCAGCCTCCTGAGTAGCTGAGACTACAGGTACATGCCACCATGCCTGGCGAATTTCTGTATTTTTTCTAGAGATAGGGTTTTACCATGGTGGTCAGCCTGCTCTCAAACTCCTGGGCTCAAGCCATCCTCCTGCCTCAGTGCTGAGATTACAGGCTTGAGCCACCATGTCTGGCTGGAAGCATTTTTAAGTAACATTCTGTTATCATTAAAATACTTTCTCTCCACAAGGTAATAACACTTAACATAAAAGGAAAGGAAGGCAGGCAGCAGAAATTTAAAATGAACTTAAAATCACTATGGAACCCTGGTAAATCCCAATATAGCACCAAACTTTGCACAAGCCTTCAACCAGTGATTTAATTATTAAAATGCTTCCCATTGCCAAAAAAAAAAAAATCCACTATAGTCCGATTCAATTTACCTAGGAGGATGCTTCAGAATATATCCACCCAAGACTGTGATGTGAAATTTGTATTTATAAAGAAGAAACACAGCCTTGGCCTCCTTTTATGAAGACACGCCCACAGGCACACCCACTCATACCAAAACCAGAGGACTCTATGTTCAATTAAATTGGCTCTATGTGGCCAGGGACGGTGGCTCACGCCTGTAATCCCAGCACTTTGGGAGGCTGAGGCGGGCGGATCAAGAGGTCAGGAAATCGAGACCACGGTGAAACCCCATCTCTATTAAAAATACAAAAAAAATTAGCCGGGCGCGGTGGCCGGCGCCTGTAGTCCCAGCTACTCCAGAGCCTGAGGCAGGAGAATGGCGTGAACCCGGGAGGCGGAGCTTGTGGTGAGCCGAGATCGCGCCACTGCACTCCAGCCTGGGCAAACAGAGTGAGACTCCGTCTCAAAAAATAATAATAATAAAATAAATAAATAAATAATAAATTGGTTCTATGTAAAAAGTCTCTAGGTAACACTTAAATTGGCATGAAACAAAATAATTCATCTGAGGTAGGGAAAGGGGAAGAGTTAGAAACGTCTTCCTGAAGGAAGACAGACAATTCCCCCAGCCACACCTGGAAACTCAAGAGCAGCCTTTGATGTAGTCATCTGTCTTCAGCCCAAAAGCTCTAGGGAGTTGACCTAACATTTACATGGCTTGGTAAAAAATAATTTGCTCTGAGGTAATTTAGTGTAAGCTCAGGTCATGGCCTGAACTTGCCAAATAAACAGAACCGCCCGGGATTCTTTCCAGTGGCGCTAGCCTCCAGACTGATGAGCTTGCTCACCTGGCTGGCTCCCTTCTTCCCATTGATCCTCACTCATTTCCTCTGGGTTTTCCATGCGTGTGGCAGGCTTCGGGCAGGGCTACATGCTCGGGCTCTTTGGCTTTGCTGGATTCCTCTTGGCAGTCACACTTGGACTCCACGGCTCCTGGGAAGGAAGAGAGAAAAAAGGAGGTGCAGTCTTGAACGGGGATAGAGCTGTGACCTCCCAGCCCAAAAAGAACATGTTTTGCCTTGCCGGGATGGGGAAACAGCTTTTGAAGTCTAGCCCAGGCCTCCCTGGTGCAGATCATCTACTAGCTATTGTTCCAGCACAGATTTCCACTCTACATAATAGAGACACAATGACAAAGGGATTCATTCACTGACTCTTTATTGAAGGCTCACTATACTCAAGGTACTGACAGCGGTGGAGAACATACTGGGGAAAGGCAGGCATGTGTCCTCAGAGTAGAAGAAAATATCCAAAAAGAAATTTTTATGTAAACAGACTTTGGGCTAAATGTTTCCTGATATGTGAATAGAATATAAAATATGAATTTGGTAACTTAATTGTTGAAACTGTCCATGTGTAATTTAGAAGAAAAACAGAGATCTAGTTTTGGTAGAATCCTAGCCACTCTCCAGATCCAATCCCAAAGCTGCTTTTGTAAACCACTGTTGGCAGAATTTCTCACCTTGGTGATAGAGATAACACCAGGTTATTAATCTGTGGTTTCAAAAAAGAGAAAAATGAGTGGCAGGAGTACTGGACCATTTTTTATTAAAACCAGGTCAATTAAGGGAACCTTTACTAGCCAATATGCTTATACCCACTGGAATGCGTTAAAAAACCAAAATCCTGTCCAATTCAATCCCAGAAGAAAAACATGCAGAGAACAGCAATATTCAGCAATGAGTACTGAAAGTATTTTCAAGTCTAGGCAGAATTCTAGAAATTACTAAATTAACCAGTGATGTTGTGTTGAACAGAACTCTCATCCTGAATATAATTATATTAAAACTTCTGACGATTTCTTCCCTCAACGTGCTATCCTCGGGTTATAGGAGGTTAGGGTAAGAAAGAAGGACATATGGATGGGACAAGGAGGAAGGGAAGAAAATACTCACAAAAAACCATATTCACAATTCAGCAGTTTTGTACAATGACAGATCATTCATGTACTATTTTTTACTCATGAAACTAAATTCATTCATTACTCAACATTTACTAGGTTTATTGAATAAATTATAGAAATGTAAATCACAAAATGAATTACATAACAAAATGTTGGTTTTTATTACATGCCAAGATTAATGTATTTTCTCCTCATGTAAATTTTCCTGGAATAAATACAAAGTTGATCATAATACTTTCAAATCATCTTCCAGTTTCCCTGAATTAGAAAACACTATGAACAATGTATTCAGGGGTGTGTGTGTGTGTGTATGTGTGTATTTTTGGCATCATGCTCATATAATGTTTTGGCACCATGTTCTTTCATCTTACAAAATCATGTTTCATCTATCATTTACTAAACAAAGTTAACAATTGGAATTAAGTTGCTTAACTATAGTAACCAGTGTTAAGGAAGTTTTATTTACTTAAAAACATATTTTTCTGAACAAATATGGTGAGCACTACAGTTCTGTGGGTTGCCTTGGAGAATGTAAATAAATGCTACCAGTTGATACCTGTCAATTACAGTCCTTATGTAGTTTGTGGCACTTGTAATTTACAATAGGAAAATCATTCATTTTCCTAATGATCATGGACAAGTCTGCTGAATTTTTTATAACGTAATTGAAGAGACAGTAAGTCAAAACATCTTCATTCTTCTCTTAGCCATCTGCAAGGTTTCTTATAGGCACAAAACATCATGTCAGGTCATTTTTATGAGTTTCCCAGGACTTATAAGTTATTTAGACATGAGTGTTTTACTGTCCTAACACAAAACTCTAAATGTGCAAATTTAAACAAACAGAGGAAGTCACCACATGGATGTACCATGCTCATGGATGATGGCCCACAAAAAAAGTTGGGAGAAGCAGTGATTTGGGCACATAGGTAGTGATCAAAGAGATATAGTCTAGTAGAATGGCAGAAAAATCAAATTTCCCCAAAAAAGTAATATGACAATGACATAGAAGCAAAATGGTAGAAAACTTTCCATTCCATTGGGTGATAGTAAGCAGCTCAGTCTTTTTCCCACTGTCTCAGTATGGTTAAAGCCTGGATACAGATGGGGCATGTTAGACTACCTATTGGCTACTATGCTCACTACCTAGGTGATGGGATCTGTACTCCAAACCTCAGCATCACACAATATTCCCATGCAACAAATCTGCACACGTACCCCCATATTTAAAATAAAAGTTTTTGAGGCCAGGCACAGTGGTTCATGCTCCCAGCACTTTGGGAGGCTGAGGCAGGTGGATTATCTGAGGTCCGGAGTTGGAGACCAGCCTAGCTGACATGGTGAAACCCCTATCTCTACTAAAAATATAAAAATTAGCTGGGCGTGGTAGTGCATGCTTGTAATCCCAGCTACTTCGGAGACTGAGGCAGGAGACTTGCTTGAACCCGGGAGGCAGAGGTTGCAGTGAGCTGAGATCGCACCACTGCACTCCAGCCTGGGCAACATAGCAAGACTCTGTCTAAAAAAAAAAAAAAAAGAAAAAAATAATAAAAATCAAGTAAAAGTTGAAAAAATAAAGAACTAAAACCTGATGTGGAAAATGCCTATATCTAACCCAAATCTATCAAGCTAACCAGAAAAAGGAAGAAGACAAAGCAGCAGCAGCAGCAGCAGCAGCCGCCGCCGCTGCCACCACCACCACCACCACTGCTGTCATCCTCTAATTTTACACAATAATAAATGAAGACTGGTGGGGGGAACCCTCAGAGGTGGTAGCATTTCCTTCTCAGGTAAGCCAAGCTGGTTACAGGGATCAGTGTTCCTAGCTGTGAGTTAATGACAGTTTTCATTCCTTTTCATACTCTAGGCATTTGAGCACCTTTTCTCTTGGGCCCTCCCTGCCCGCTTGGCCTACCCAACCTTATTATTCATCCTTTAAAAGACTTAGCTCAAATTTCTGTTCATAACCACAGGAGGAATTACTCCCTCCCTCCTCTGTGGCCTTACAGAACTTTTCATTCTGCTAGTGTAGCACTTCTCACACTGCAGGGGCTAACTGGGTACACAACAGTTTCTGCCACCAGAATCCAAATGCTTGGAGGACAGATTCAGCATCTTATCTACCTTTTATCCTCAGGGTGTAGCAGAGTGTCTGGTATATAGTAGGCGTTCAATAAATATCTGTTGAATAAGTATGTGAGTGAATGAAGAAGCATTTAAATTACCCCAAATACTAAAAGAAAAAGACCAGAATGAAAATAATCTAGTTTGTATATCTTAGCCCTCCAATCATTACACTTAAAAGAACTCTAAAGACAAGATATTTTTAAATATAAAAAAAGTATCTTCCCAAATAGAAAAAGATAAACCATCCCACGTAATTTTCACAAGGACAGTGGACATTATAAATTACAGTCATAAAACTCTAGTCCTTTGTAACTTATGTGGTATTTCCTTTAGTTCTACTCTTTCATCTTTTCCAAGATTTGTTTTTCCATCCTGAGTGCTTCAAGCTAAAGAAAAAGATGACACAGGGACACCTATGTATATAGACACAAAATCTCTCACTTTCTCCAAACATTTTGGGTCACTATGCTCAGTTAAAACATTAAATTCCTGGAAAGGTACACAGAGTTCCTAACCATTCCAAATGACTAAAATCTACTTTCTCATTATGCCTTGAGTTATACTTTACAACTACAGTCCTGAAAATTGTGGACTACTTGTAATTAATGAGAAAATATGAGAGGCTTGGAAGTAAATACACACACATAAAAATATTTTCTAAATCAACTAAAGCCAAAGTCAAGGTTCTTAGGGAGCCACCAGTTACTAACATATCAGGCTCCGAAGCAGCACTGGAGAGTGGCTGTGGAGCCAGAGGACCTGGATTGGAACCCACACTAGCTTTGGGACCTTGGCAAGTTATGAATCTTCTTGTGCCTTAACCTTTTCATCTTTAAATGAAAAAAAAATGGTGCCTTCCTCATAAGAGTATTATGCAGAGTGAAAAAATTAATGCAGGTAAGCAAATAGAAGCATATGTGGCATACATTAAGAATTTAATAATGGTTAGAGTTAATATTATAGAATCACCTTCATATGTCCTTCTCTTTTAAGTTATTTCATTAGTAGGACATTCCAGAAGATGAGAAAATACTTCTCCTGAGCCAATCTCTGCCATAAGGTCACTGTCATTTGGGGCACATGTCATAGATGGAAGTGTAACAAACCTGACCCTGGAGTATTATTTTCCAATCAGACAAGAAATCATAGTAGGCATGAGAAATAATAATTCCATTAACTACACTTACATTGGTTTTGCTAACATCCATATGAACGCACACAGAAAAAACCTTTTAGAGCCACATATAACAGAGTAATCAAGGAACATGCTATGCTGCTTATTAGCAAGATGTTCAGGCCCAGGTGACTTGCCACTCTGAGCTGGCTTCCTTATCTGTACAATGGCCATAGTCATTGTCACAATCATTGTAATTAGTCCATTCTCACACTGCTAATAAAGACATACCCAAGACTGGGTAATTTATAAAGGAAAGAAGTTTAATGGACTCACAGTTCCACATGGCTGGGGAGGCCTCATAATCACGGCAGAAGATGAAGGAAGAGCAAAGGATGTCTTACATGGCCACAGGCAAAGAGAGAATGAGAGCCAAGGGAAAGGGGAAACCCCTTATAAAACCATCAGATCTCGTGAGACTTGTTCACTACCATGAGAGCAATAGGGGGGAAACCGCCTCCTTGATTCAATTATTTCCCACTGAGTCCTTCCCACAACACATGGGAATTATGGGAGCTACAATTCACGATGAGATTTGGGTGGGGACACAGCCAAACCATATCAATCATCTTCACCATACCTAATGCTATTGGTAAACCTTAAACCTGATAGTATGTACGAAAGCACCTAATAGACAGTTCATCCATGTTACCTTTACATTTTTATTCCTCCTCATTCCTGTGTAACTTTGTGAGCTTGCTGTGACTCTCTTCGGTTTTCCAAGAGACT